AATTTTCTTTTACAAAGTTAGGAGTACCTTATTTTTTAAAGAGGTGTCTGATTTTTATAAGAGCCAAATGCCCCATCTTTCTCCCTTTTTCCTAAAGCTCTTTGGTTTACGTTTCCAAAAATGAAAAGGAACAGAGGCGATCAGTTGATGTGTCTCACTCACATCAATGTTTCTCTCTGTCTCTCTCCCTCCCTTTCACTCTCTCTAAAAAAAACATCAATGGAAAATATCCTCGGATGAGGATTAACAAAACAACAAAATTCATCGGGAGGGAATCAAATGTGTAAGAGCTCAGAGCAACAGAGTTCGCAGTTAACCCAGATTGGGGCGTGGGCCTGTCTGGGCTTCTGGTCAACAGCTAGTGGAGACGGTCAACTCTCCTGGTTGCCAGGAAGATAGATAGCCTCATGGAAGCCCCGCCTGTACGATCAAGGCAGCCGGGATCCTTCGTCTTTGAATTCACTCTTAGAATAAGGTGGAACTCAGCAACAGAATTTGACTTTGCTACTACGGGGTAGAGCAAAAGTAGGTTTACAGTTATTTGTATGGAAAATAATACAATACTTCATAAATATTAATACCAAAATAAACTGTTTCATGTAGTCACAACTATAAACCTCCTGGAAGGTAGGGGAGGTGGGGGTAAGGGGAGAGAGCAACCAAAGGACTTGTATGCAGGCATATAGGCCTAACCAATGGACACAGACACCACGGGGGTGAGGGCATGAGTGGGGGGGGGGGGGGAAATGGGGGATAAGGACACATATGTAATACCTTAATCAATAAAGAAAAAAACTATAAACCTCCTTTTGCCCCATCCTGCTTGGATTTCTTTCTTAAAATAGCATCTGGTCATTCATTTCAGGACGCCAAGGAAAAGATGTGGAGTCAATAGTGACTTTTCTTATTAATATTGATTTAGATGAACACATTAATACTTGCCCTAATTATTTCTATGACTAGATTAGAATATTCTTTCTGTTCATTTGGAGGCTGGGTCAGCTCTTAGTGAATTTTGTTAACTATTGAGTTTCTAACACAACCTGGAATTGTGGCCTTCTGAAAGAGGCGTCCAGCTATTGGTAGTTTGCTCTATCAGCAAGGAATTAATAGCACTTGACACATATATCTTTCATTCACATTTGCATCTAAAACAAACATTTCAAGTTTAATTTCCTGGAATCTATAGTTCGAATGGATATATAATACATTGGTATTTTTTAAACCGTGGTTTTCTATTTGGGATTTTTAATACTGCCATTTAATCGGTACTATTTTTTTAAAAATATATTCTATTGATTTTTTACAGAGAGGAAGGGAGAGGGATAGTCAGAAACATCAATGAGAGAGAAACATGGATCAGCTGCCTCCCGCACACCCCTTACTGGGGATGAGCCCGCAACGAAGGCACATGCCCTTGACCAGAATCGAACCCGGGACCCCTCAGTCCTCAGGCTGACGCTCCATCCACTGAGCCAAACCGGCCAGGGCAAATCGATACTATTTTTATGTGGTTAGTTTTGTGCTGTTCAATTAGAGTTCTGATTTTAGTCACTGAAACGTCAGATTTAAATGTTTGAAATGTGACATTTAAGTGTTTTTAGTCTTTGACGGCGGGGTCCCCACAATTCTGTGTTCGTTTCGAGGATGGCAGGTGACGGTGACTCAGCCAGGCAGTGAAGTGCCAGTTCTAATGGAAGGTTCTTTTTTTTAATGATTTTATTCATTTCAGAGAGGAAGGGACAGGGAGAGAGAGTTAGAAACATCAGTGATGAGAAAGAATCACGGATCGGATGCCTCCTGCACGCCCTACACTGGGGATCGAGCCCACAACACAGGCCTGTGCCTTGAACAGAATCGACCTGTGTGTGACCTCCTGGGTCATAGGTCGACTGACGCTCAACCACTGAGCCACATCGGCCAGGCTAATGGAAGGTTCTCTAGTGCATTCATGTCTGCTTTAAGCCTCTCAGTATAACAGATGTGGCAAATGGTGAGTGTGGAGGCTGAAACACACTAGTTGCATGAAAGGGGCAACATGAGCCATACCCTGAAAACGGGAGAAAAGACTGTGTTCAGCGTGGCAAACGCTACATCTCTGTTTACTTCTTGACCCCAAGGTCAGAGCATCGAGCGAAAATCCGCTTTTATATCAGCATAGAAAGAAATGGAAAGAGAGAGACTAAGGTGAGGACAGGAGGCATTACCAGGGTGCCTTCTAATAAAACGAGAAGCTGGAGGCAAACATAAAAATAAGTAATGAAACTCCAAAGCTTTGCAGAGCACCAGGAGGTAGAACATTCTGGAAGGGAGAGAAACACTGCAGGCACCTGATGGATGTGGCCAGGCTTCGGCCAGGCCCTTCAGCTCCAGCGCGAGGGTCCGGGGCCTTCCTCCCTCCCTCCCTCCCTCCCTTCCTTCCTTCCTTCCTTCCTTCCTTCCTTCCTTCCTTCCTTCCTTCCTTTTTCTTTCTTTCTCTTTCTTTCTCTATTTCTTTCTCTCTCCCTCCCTTTCTTTCTCTCTTTCTCTCTTTCTTTCTTTCTTTCTTTCTCTCTCTCTCTCTCTCTTTCTTTCTTTCTCTCTTTCTTTCTTTTGTTGTTAATCCTCACCGAGGATATTTTTTCCCATTGATTTTTAGAGAGAGTGGGAGGGAGGGGGGAAGAGAAAGAGAAACATTGATGGATTGACTCCTGCATGTGCCTGGGGGCGGGGGGCTTGAGATCCCCAGATACGTTCCCTTGACAGGAATCGAACCCGCCACCCTTCATCCTAGGGCTGACACTCTAACCCAGTGATGGCGAACCTTTTGAGCTCGGCGTGTCAGCATTTTGAAAAACCCTAACTTAACTCTGGTGCCGTCACATATAGAAACTTTTTGATCTTTGCAACCATAGTAAAACAAAGACTTATATTTTTGATATTTATTTTATATATTTAAATGCCATTTAACAAAGAAAAATCAACCAAAAAGATGAGTTCGTGTGTCATAGGTTCACCATCACTGCTCTAACCACTGAGCAAAACTGGCCAAGGCAGTCAAACCTTCGTTGGCACTTCTGTTCCTTTCCTGCTGCCAGATTCTTTGAATCTAATCATGTCTATGCCCGTCATCATGGCGCTGGAGAGGCCAGGGCTCAAACCTACCCCGGTGGTAGCTCTGTGACCTTGACACCTTTCTAAGCCTGTTTCCTCATCTGTAAAATACCTGCCTCAGCCCGGACCAGGAGGTCACGGTTCGATTCCTGGTCAGGGCACAGGCCCGGGTTGTGGGCTCCATCCCCGGTAGGGGGTGTGCAGGAGGCAGCCGATGCATGATTCTCTCTCATCATTGATGTTTCTCTCTCTCCCTCTCCCTTCCTCTCTGACATCAATAAAAATATATTTTTTTAAAAATGCTTTAAATAAATACATACCTCACAGGGTTGTTGGGACAGTATATGACAATGACTTTATTAAGTACTTAGCCCAGTGAGCGACATGATAAATTTTAATTTATTACATAATTGTCTCCTGCATACTGACATCAGACCTGACATTTCCACGGAACTTCATCTTACCCAGAATGCTAATGGTCTTTTCTGACTGAATCTTACAGCCTTTACTCTGCCTTCTTCGACTATTCGTGCCTTCATTCCCTCTATTCTCTGGACTTAATGTTGTGTGATCGACTCTTCCTTTTCTGGTAGCTTCTCTTCTGTCTGATTTACTGATTGGCTTTCTTCATTCTACCCTATGAAGTCTTCTGTGGCTCCCTCTGCTGCCATCGCACTTGTTGACGAGACTAAGTTGGATTAATAAATCAGAGAGGAGATAGTGTTCTCTCTTTTGCTTTGGGCAGTTTATTCTTACCCTTTGTTCTTCTCTACCTGCCTCCCTTCTACTTCCAAGTATAAAAATGCTATATTGGATTTAATTCATCCGAACGGGTAGAACTCCAGCACTATTAACACAGGAAGGCTTGAAGTATCTCGTTCCACGTAGGCATGGCAAGTGGTACCTATAGCCGAACTGTGTTCAGATGGTGATGATGATGATGATGAACTGTGTTCAGATGGTGATGATGACAATGACATTAATATTTTCCAAACAGTATTGTAGAACTTACGCACTGGCTTAACCTACGTTATCTGAGATTGTTCTTCAGAATGACACTATAGGCAGTTACCGGAATTATGCAACACATTTTATAAATGATATTTTTAAAATTCTGACTTTGATGCTGGGAGTAGTATCTTTTCTGCTTAAACCATACTCTTATTTTTCCCCCTGTTCCATGTAACTTCTCTGATGTGTCTTGTCTATAAATGCTAGATTTTAAAAAGAAAAAAAAAGACAAATATAAATGTTAGATTTTAGGCTAAAGCAGTGGTTGGCAAACTGCGGCTTGGCAAACTGTGGCTCGCGAGCCACATGCGGCTCTTGGGCCCCTTGAGTGTGGCTCTTCCACAAAATACCGACTTCTGCGCATGGGCCACGAAGTTTCAATCGCACTGTACGTGCGCGCCCGCACGTGGTATTTTGTGGAAGAGCCGCACTCAAGGGGCCAAAGAGCCGCATGTAGCTCGCGAGCTGCAGTTTGCCGACCACGGGGCTAAAGGATAGACAGCATATTCTTATCCATTTTAGGGAAAACTAAGAAAAAGAAGTTAAATTTAAAACAGCAAATTGAGTTACTTATTAGCAGATTAAGAAAGAATTGTGAATTTCAAAACTTGATTTTAAGAGTTTGGGGAATGTATTTATTTGTGCTATCTACATTTTTTTTTTTATTAATAGCCGGCTCTATAATGTATATAGATTTAAGGTGGCAGAAGACATAGAAAAGTTATAGTGTCAAAGATTGTAAAGGGTGAAAAGTTAGGCTTAGCTTAAATGGGGGATTTCATCTCTGTAGTTAGAGAAGTCTTCATGTTACCATAGATCATATCCATTCATTCATTATTCACTCTGATTGTCTTTGGTTCCTACCTAACAAAGTATGTTGTGTGTTTGTTTTTCAGATCTAAAGCGGGAAGCCAGTATCTGTCACATGCTGAAGCACCCCCACATTGTAGAGTTATTGGAGACATATAGCTCAGATGGAATGCTTTACATGGTCTTTGAATTGTGAGTGTACATTCTGTCTTTTTTTTTAAGGGTTAAAGTTTTTAGCCACATTGGTTTAGGATAACGCTAATACCTTCTTTTAGAATTGAAGAACAGTTGTGAACTCATCTCTTACAGTGGTTCTCAACCTGTGGGTCGCGACCCCTTTCGCGGTCGAACGACCCTTTCACAGGGGTCGCCTAAGACCATCCTGTATATCAGATATTTACATGACGATTCATAACAGTAACAACATGACAGTTATGAAGTAGCAACAAAAATAGTTTTATGGTTGGGTCACAACATGAGGAACTGTATTTAAAGGGCCAGAAGGTTGAGAACCACTGCTTTAGAAAGACCTGAAGTAGTAAGAGAAGAAGCATGGTCTCATTTTAAGGTTCGAAGTGCTGAGGGAACAGAAGTTGGTCCTGTCTAGTTCCCCTCACATTTTTAGCATTCTTTGCAGAAGAGGCTTTAAAAAGCAAGAGTTCAGTGAGATAGGAGGCCCCAAAATAGAACATTCGGATCATAGGAGTCTTAGTGAGGAGGAGTGGGAAGGCAGTGCAAGCCTCCATGTAGCCAGCCTCGCTAGCAACTAAAGAGTGATAACACTTCACTTCCTCATTTGATACAATCGCCAGCATTGCAAGGAAAGTCTGCAGATCACAGTGTATCTTGATTTCAATCCGCCCCTGGACGCATTTCTCACACAATTATTGTCAATAAGATGGAGAAATGCGGGCTGAGGCTGGGACAGCTGGGTGATTTTACAGCTGCTCGGATGATTGTGTCCGGAGTTCATATCCTTTATGGGACACCATCCCTCTTCTGTTCAAGTTCTAATCAGTGACGTTGATTAGGGTCTCCCGCAGGGTAGTAATCCAGGAGTTGCCGGGGCTGAAGTCATTTGAAGGCTTCCAAACTCACTCACTCAGTTGCTGGCAGCAGGCTGTGGGACTGCGGGCCTTCCTTCCCCAGGAGCTGTTGGCCTGGCCCGCCCCAGGCTCCTTGTCACTGGGTCCTTCCATGGGGCAGCTCGGAGTGAGCAAGCAAGTGGACAAGGGTATGAACTAAACTGAAGTCAAGCCCGGCCGGCGTGGCCTAGTGGGTGAGCGTTGACCTATGAACCAGGAGGTCACGGTTTGATTCCCGGTCAAGGGCACAGGCCTGGGTGGAGGGCTCCATCCCCGGTAGGGGGCGTGCAGGAGGCAGCCGATCCACGATTCTCTCATCATTGATGATTCTCTCTCATCACTGATGCTGCTAGCTGTCTCCGCCTCTCCCTTCCTCTCTGAAATCAATAAAAATATACGTTAAAAAAACGGAAGGCAATCTTGTAACCTAATCACAGAAGTCACTCAGCAGCCCGCCTGCCTATTCTGTTGGGTAGAAACACGGCACTGGGTCCAGCCCACACACGAGGGGAGGCGATTGCGCAAGGGCGTGCATACCAGGAGGCAGCGATCACTGGGAACTGGGTCAAAAGCTACTCCCACACAGGGCTCGCTCATACATTGACGATCCAGATCAGAATTTGAAAATATTTCACAAGTTTGCAGCAAAGCAGCTGATGACATTTAAGGCCTAATTTAATATCAACACACGCATGCCGATCTGTAGGTGCGCGTTCACTGTGGCTTTGGTTGGAACTGCTTAGGTGAAAAGGATGTAAACGTTTTAGTTAGTTGTTGCAACTAAACAGCCCTGAGCGGAACCTTTGACTAGACTGGTTACCAGTTCATAGTATTCAGAAGCGAACCACACTCCCGCTGAATTGTGTACTGCTCACTCCTCCCGCATCTTCGTAGTAAGCGGATAACCAGAGTGGGAAAGAACCTAGAAGTTCTGTCAGAGAGTCACAGCCTTCAAAACCTTTGTTGGCAAACCCACTGAAAGAATTTTGAAAACTGTGTACCTCCTCACTGATTTTTTTAATAAGTTTATTGACTTTTAAAAAATATATTTTATTGATTTTAGAGAGGAAGGGAGAGGGAGAGAGAGATGGAAACATCAATGATGAGAGAATCATGGATCGGCTGCCTCCTGCCACTGGGGATCGAGCCCGCAAGCCAGGCATGTGCCCTTGGCTGGAATCAAACCCGGGACCCTTCAGTCCACAGGCCGATGCTCTGTCCACTGAGCCACACCAGCTAGGGCAGTTTATTGATTTTTCAGAGAGAGGAAGGGAGTGGGAGAAACATGGATCGGCTGCCTCCTGCACGCCCCCTCCTGGGGATTTAGCCTGCAAACCAGGCCTGTGTCCTGATCAGGAATCGAGCCAGTGACCTCCTGGTTCACAGGGTGACGCCTGGACCACGCCCAACCAAATGAGCCACACCAGCCAGGTCCTCCTCACATAGTCTTAAGTTGATATATAACAACTTTTGTTGTGAGGTTGTAATTTTCAGTTTCGTATATTCCTTTAAATATGTTTTCTTCAAAACTGTAGAGCCGCCCTAACCGGTTTGGCTCAGTGGATAGAGCGTCGGCCTGTGGTCTTAAGGATCCCAGGTTCGATTCCAGTCAAGGGCATGTACCTTGGTTGCAGGCACATCCCCAGTGGGAGGTGTGCAGGAGGCAGCTGGTCGATGTTTCTCTCTCATCCATGTTTCTAACTCTCTATCCCTCTCCCTTCCTCTCCGTAAAAAATCAATAAAATATATATTTAAAATAACAACAACTGTAGAGCCGCCCCGTTTTCTCAATTTCTATCTGCTCTGTGAGCTAAATGGCAGAGCTAGTCATCACTGTCCAACCAATGAGCCAAACCAGACTCGCTTTCTGACAGAAAAGAATCTGACTTCATTTTTCAAAGAAACTTCAAGTGCGAATAGACATCTCTGTGACAATCATGTTGCTATTTGTTTCTAGTTCTAAAATGGACCAGACTTTGCCATGATTATATTGTCTGGATGAAATAAGGTGGTTCTCCCCTTGCTTTTTTTTAAAATCTGTTTTTATTGGCTTTTAGAGAGAGAGGAAGGGAGAGGGAAAGAGAGATAGAAACATCAATGATGAGAGAGAAACATTAATGATGAGAGAGAAACATCATCAATTGGCTGCCTCTTGCACGCCCCCTACTGGGGATTGAGCCTGCAACCAGGCAGGTGCTCTGACTGGGAATTGAACCGGTGACCTCTTGGTTCCTGCTTTGACGCTCAACCACTGAGCCACAGGAGATTTGCATCCCATTTCCCAGCTGTCTCTTAGAAGTGAGGTAGGTTTCTCAGGGTAGGTGAGTGGTTTGGCCATTGAGATGTGTTCCTGTGAGCGCAGACGTAAAAGGACAGTCAGCAGACCACACACTTGTTCTCAGACCAAACCATGGAAAAGGCAGATAGGGAAATTGATTGCCTTAAAAATCCCCTCGTCCCTGGGAAGGACTTTGGGTACCAGAGAGAGACTCGGGTCCCAGTTCAAAGATCACTGGCATGAAAAGGCCATTGGAAAGATTGGGAGGCGATCGTTGGCCAAGAATCGATTGGTTTTCTTTTTCTTTTTGCTAAAAGAGTCCTCAGGGCAGAAGCCTGTGGTAGAACATAATGGAAGCCTTCAGTGATTTGAAAGATTGTTCTCTGTAAGAGGGTTCTAGGGTTATTCAGTGCAGGGTCAGGGTTATAACTAGAATCAACAAATGGCAGGTAGCCCTGGCCGGTGTGGCGCAGTGGATAGAGCGTCAGCCTGCGGACTGAAGGGTCCTGGGTTCGATTCCGGTCAAGGGCATGTACCTGGGTTGCAGGCACATCCCCAGTAGGGAGTATGCAGGACGCAGCTGATTGATGTTTCTAACTCTCTATCCCTCTCCCTTCCTCTCTGAAAAAAATCAATAAAATATATATTTAAAAAACCAACCAACAACAAAAAACAAACGGCAGGTAGATCTCACCTCTAAGCAAAGAAGGCCTCCGATGAATAGACTCACTGTCCTGCAGAACATGCCTTCTCCACTAGAAACACTGCGCTGAAGCTGGGCCATCCAAGGGGCTGAAGCTAAGGTTTTAATTTTGGACTGGACCTCTTTTAAGATACTATAATTCTGTTTTTCCCCTTTTAATTGATTTTAGAGAGAGGAAGGGGAGGAGAGAGAAACATCGCTTGGCTGCCTCCCGCATGCACCCTGACCAGGGATCAAACTCACACCCTGGGCACGTGCCCCAACTGGGAATTCAGCCGGCCACCTTTCGGTGCACGGGATGATGCCCCAACCACTGAACCACACCGGCCAGGGAGACATTATAATCCTTTTAGTCACTTTCTCTGGTTAAATTTTATTCTTTATTCAAGAAATATGTTTCTGTCCACATTTTTATTCACGGAGGAAATGAAAAAAATCAGTTTTATCATATACTATAAAGTAATGAGCATAGAAAGCCAAATATAAAAATGTGCTGAAATTTCAACCTGACTGCTGTTTGTGTCACAAGGATCTAAGTGCCAGTAAAGGTAAAATAGTCTTTGGTGTCATAGAACTTGTTTTACTCTCCCAACTATGTCCCTTCTATTAATTATGTGACTTTGGCCAAGTCTTATAGAGACGAAGTGTCTTAGCTTTAAATAAATCTTCATAAGGTTATGAGAACTCGGTGGGAAAACTCTGAATTTCCTTTTTATAAAATGGTAACGTGCTCCATAGCTCTAAGGTATTGTTTTCAGTACGGCTTACTGTTAGTTTCTCAGCGTTGAATCTGAATGAGATTTTATGTAGCTCAGTTGACGGAAGTAATTCATCAATGGCTCTATACTGAGATGAGACCTCCTTAAAATTGCATATGCCAACCCAGTGTTGCTCAGTAGTTGAGCATCGACCCATGAACTAGGAGGTCACGGTTCAATTCCCAGTCAGGGCACATACGGGTCAGGGCAGACGCCTGGGTTACAGGTTCGATCCCCAGTAAGGGGCGTGCAGGAGGCAGTCGATCAATGATTCTCTCTCATCATTGATTTCTCTCTCTCTCTCTCTCCCTCCCTCTCTCCCTCTCTCCCTCCTCTCTCTGAAGTCAATAAAAACATATCAAATAAGT